TGAGCTTTGAAACAATAGAAAACATGGTGTGACCATCAATTGGAGTATTCCAGATGGAAGACACTGTAGGCAGATAGTCTGAATGTTTGGTCCACATTTTAAAGAACCTAAATGGCTTTTTACCATGCACTTGATCCTCAAAAATTGTAACAAGTGCAGGAGAATGATCAGAGAAACTGGGTAAAAGGAATTCTGCTTGACTAGAATTATAAGTATTTATCCATTGATCATTGACTAAAGCTCTATCCAGTCTGCTCAGAACCCTGGTAGCCGCATCTTGTTTGTTATTCCAAGTAAAGAAACAACCAATGGTTTTCAAATGGGAAAGCTGGCAGGTATCAATGAATTGATTGAAATCATAGGTATCAGCTTCTGTTAGAGCAGTACCACCCAGTTTCTCATCATCAGAGATCATAGCATTGAAGTCACCACACAACAACCAAGGCAGATTACCTAAATTTTGCTGAATTTGAGAGAGTTCATTCCATAACAGCTTCCTAGCATCAGCATGATTATATCCATAAACTGAGGAAATGATGCAATTTAGTCTTCCATCCAGAGACTTGACAGCACAAGAGATATGTTGAGCAGAAAAACAGATGATATGGACATCAAAAATATTAGGATCCCACAAGATCATAACTCTGGCTTTGTCTGAATTATTGGCATTAGAAAACCACTGCCAGTTAATATCAATCTTCTTAGCAATAGCCTGGACATTACTGAGCTTCAGCTTTGTTTCAAGAAGAGCTAGAAAAGAGAGATGGTATTGCATAAGGTGTTTTTTTAACCAAATGCTGTTTAGGGGATTTGTTCAATCCCCTAACATTCCAAAATAACAGGTTCATTTATTTGTTCCCCCCTATCAATATTTGAGGGGTCTAGGATTGATATCAAGTTGGAAAGAGGAGAGAATGGATTTACTCCTTTACTTTTGTTTCTATGAACTTGAGTCCAGGAGTTTCCAGTAAGGATAGCTTCTTTTCCCTTATTTATTTCCAAAACAGGCTGAACATGCACAACGTGCACAGCACTGTTCATTTCACTAGCTGGAGTCACTTCTTCTGAAATTTTGGTTGAAGACATAGTTTCAACTCCAATTTTCTCTGCAGGAGGATGCAAGCTAATACTGTCAGCATGTTGATTACCAACAGGATCATCATATTGTTTCTCCAGGACTTCACCTGCAGCCAGGCTAGATTTATTACCAGGATGAACCGCAATATTTCTTTGCTTAGGGACCCATCTTTGCACAGGATAATGTCTTTTGCAGAAATTAGTATCATGCCCAACATTTTTACAGTGATCACACCATCTTGGTTTTAATTCATATATAATTTTTTGAAAATATTGTGAACCATCAGGCCCTTTGATAGCTATCTGATCAGGGAGAGGAGAAGGCATTTTAACCTCAACAAGCACTCTAGCATATGCCAGTCTTTTCATATTTGCAGTGAGCATATCAGTAGCTATGGGATGGCCTATAGTGCTAGAAATTTTACTTATTCCCTTAGCATTCCATAGGTTTAATTTTAGCTCTGGTAGCTGGATCCACAATGGATAGATACAGTCCTTCATCTTTTCAAAATCCTCACCCACTGTCCAAGGCTTCAATAACATTGGTCGAGAACCAAAAAACCAGGGACCAGATAAAAGTATATTATTCATATCATCCTTATTATTGAATTTGAAGAGAAAAACTCTAGATTTGAGAAGATTAATCTCAGGCAGAGCTATAGGAGACCAAACTTTCTTAATGAAACCTTCCATTGCTTTAAATTTGACATTCAACCCCATAACCTGACCAACAAGGGAGAACTGCCAGATTTGAACCCCTTCATTCCATTCTTCATCATTAAAAGAAACCACATCCTTTGATACAGGGGGAATATAGTTCAGATCTAAACCACTGCCCTGTTTTCTATTATCAGCAAAAAAACTGACCCAACTTCTTTTAGGAATCTCTTTTGGAGCATCATTAAGAACTGGTGGTGGAATGATCTCATCCTGTTTATCTGATTCCAAATTAATAGCATTTCCTTTATTTTCAAAATTCAATGGAACAGTACCGATACCAGAACTTCTCAAAGGAGCACTATTATTTCCAGAATTCAAAATAGGATTCATAGGAGACGCAGAGGAAATTTTAACAGGTGAAAAAACTGGATTAAGAGGAGAATCCATTTCTAGATCTAGATCAAGATCATCAGCCCAAGATACCCTGGATGAAGTTTCCATACCAGAAGTATGAGATCTACTCAGACTACGTACCTGAACCCCAGTTAGAGGAGCTACAGATTGAGAGTTGCAAGAATCAAGAATATCCGCCATTGTTCTCTTTGATTCCGTAGATAAACTCTCTTTGAATCCGAAGAAAAGTTTTATCGCACATTTGAGCCAATAATCTTCGCATAGACGATACGTGTATCTTATTCCATTTTATTAATGTCTACTTGGTCTTTTGTGCAGTGAGAGAAATCCTCTCCTACACTTGATGTATAAGAACCGTATGAGATTAATCCTCTGCATTGCACGTGACATATTTTGTGGCCTGTATTGCACATGGCTGTGCTATCTCAATTGATTTTCCTCTCATTAGGTTCTCAATGAAAGCGATATCTATCTCTTAAGATCATACTTAGTTATCTCATAAGGACGTACTTAGTTATTTTATTCTCAAATAAAGCTGGCACAAGTAAAATTAATAGAACTGTATGTTTGAGAAAACAACAAAATGACAGAATTAACAGCCTAACACAAAGAACACATTGGTCTTTTACCAGAATATAGTTACCAACACACCATGTTCAAACATGGTTGTGAAGGTGATGACTCTCAACTCTCAAGGATGGTTTATATCTTGATGTAAATGCTGCTTTCAGGAACCTGATCGTGGAGAGTGGTCCAATGGTGTCGGTAGGCATTCTTCGTAAGATTACAACAATTGGATTGAGAATTCAACACATTGTTACGCGATGTGCGGAAGCGTGCTCGACAACCAAACGAGTCGGTGAGCGATGAGAGAAGAGAACCAAATCAAATTACGAGTGCAATTCACCAAAACACGACACAAATCAAACCAAACACATGAATTTACGTGGTTCAACAATTGCCTACGTCCATGGGGAGAGGATGATGAGATTTCACTATATGAAGGAGAAATACAATGGGTTACAACTCACAAAATTACTCAAATATAACCCTAACCAAAGCTCTTAACCCCCTCACAATATCACTCTCTCAAAGTGCTCAAAACAATGCTAATTCTCTCCTTAAGAAACCCTAAAAAACGTATTTCTATTTATAACAAAACATAATCCCAAACATGATAGGAATCTGAAAACGAGTCTGTCATACCCGGGTGTGGCACACACCACACCCCTGAAAACATGGCAGATTTGGCAGACACCACATCTAGATGTGACAGACACCACACCCCTGACAACAGGGGCGAAATCTGTCACACCTGGGTGTGACAGACACCACACCCCTGCCACATCTTCTTGTTTGCCAACACTTTAAACAATTTAACGTCGTTTTCTATAATTCTCCACCTCAGCGAAGTGTTCCCAAAAACTAAGCCGACACCAACATGAGCACCAATGTGTCGTCTCACCAAATGTAGCTGCACCAATGTAGTTGCCTACGTATTCCCCCTCTCCTAAGGAATCAAGCCGCTTGTAGTTCATCCAAATGGTCACGAACGACCTCAACAATCAAGAATTTACTACAAGTTTCTACAATGATCAAACTTGTTGCTCGGAACCATCTTTGTGAGTATATCTGCTGGATTGTCTTTTGTGTGGACCTTCACGAGCTCCACATCCCTATCTTCAAGAACATCTCGAACGAAGTGATAACGCACGTCGATATGCTTTGTCCTCGCATGAAAGATCAGATTCTTCGCCAAATAAATAGCACTCATGCTATCACAATAAATGGTGATGAATCGCTGCGAAACACCAAGATCCTCCAAAAGTCCTCGAAGCCAAATCGCCTCCTTAATAACCTTCGTAATCGCCATATACTCTGCCTCAATCATAGACAAAGCCATCGTAGACTGCAAAGTGCATATCCAACACACCGGCGCACGGGTCAAAGTGAACACATACCCTATCGTCGACCGGCGTTTATCCAAATCTCCAGCGTAATCCGAATCTACGTATCTAATACATAGCTGCCCACCGCTAGTGTCCCGCTAAAAAACCAAACCAATATTGAGAGTACCTCGAATGTACCTCAAAATTCATCTCACAATATCCCAATGACTCGGACCTGAGTCGTGCATGTATCTAGAACTGCTTGTGACAAATCCGGCCTCGTACAAACCATGACGTACATCAAACTCCAACTGTGCTCGCATATGGAGTCTTTGACATTAACTCTTGATCTTCAACGGTGAAAGGTCAGCTGAAAGCTTCAAATGGGCTCCCAACTGGCTTCGTAAAAACCCCTTTTTTAATCTCCTTCCTTATTTGGCGTCTTGTTTGCCTTCTTCGCATTTGACAGATACTGTATGCTTAAATATTACGTCTTGTTTGCCTTCTTCGCATTTGACAGATACTGTATGCTTAAATATTACTTCTAGAGGATTAACAACAAGTTAGGTGAAGGTTTAGAACAGCTTATGCAAAATTTCCGTTTGTGAGAAATATTTTACATAGATTGTTAGAATATAAAAATATAATGCTTAACCCTCAATCACAGCTTTGTAGTTTTGATGCTATGCTAGGGATTTTAAGATGATATCAAAACAATCCAAGTTCGAATGTTTTTTGCCATGAATTTCTAACAGCTTAGTTTTCGGCCCATGAAAGGACCCTCAACCTAGTCTTTTCAGCTAAACTAGTTTTCTCAAATTTCTCATGATGCTAAACTGGCTACTTAGTTTGATAACATTAATTAGTTGATTTTACTCCGAACAAAATACTTTTAGATTATAAATAAACCAAAAAATAAAAATATTTCACAATGATAGCAACTGAAGTGCCACAGTTTTACTGCAAACCAACATAGATTGTTCGCTACCAAAATCAACAGAACTACAAGTTTGAGAAAACAAACTGAAGTGACATAAGTAATTAACAACCTCAAACGATAAGAACACAATAAACTTTTATCAGGCTACATGATCTTTACCAGGCTATAATTACAAGCAAACGTTATCCTATGTAACATAGGCTAATCCTTTAATATCTTGATGCTTCATGGGCTTCTTCAATACCTACGATTCCTTCTTCTGCTCGATCTGACAAGGCTCAATACATTTTTTGCATGTCTATCACACGAAAGCTCATCTGAAAGTTGCTCAACAGCATTAACTAGTTGATCATGGAACCTGGAATTCTGTTCTCAGAAAAGGAAAAAAAATTCTTAGTGAGCACTGATATCTAATATTCCGAGGGTAAATTTTGCAAAGCCCTCCCGCTGAACTTGAGAAACCAAAGAAAATATACCTTAATTATCATCAGTATACCAAAACCCACTGAAGTAATGCACTTGGACCTTATTTCTGTGTCTTTTTCTTCCACGTGAATATTTCGATAAATTTACATAGCAAACTTTGGTTTATCATAATTTGAACTTTTTTGCTTTGTCAATTAACAGTTTTTATTATATTCTCTAATATTTCATGGGTTTTAGTACACTTTTGAAAGTCCAGAAGGGTTCTCATTTATAAAATTGAGGGGAATTAGTGAAACTTACCCTCAAACAAAAGTTCAGATAACGCCTAACATTATGAAATGAACAAGCGTACCTTAGAAACAACTAGTGCAGTTTGCAAAGCATAATTTCCAAAGGGATGCCGGGCAATATTCTCTAGTTTTTTCGCGTCGAGACTAATAAATCCCTCAAGTATAGCTTCACTAGCAGAAGATTTGAGGCATTTCTCTACAACATAGCTTCCACTTTTACTTAACACAAGATCCTCCAAGTTTTCTTTAAGCCGAAGGCAGATCCTTTCGTTGTACATGGGGTTATGAAGATCAATGATAACCTGAATAATGAAATTTCTGAAAGAACAAAAAAAAAAGTTGAGAATAGCAAACAATGAAGTTACCGAAAGAGCTAAAAAGTGTTGAGAATTGCATAATTTTCCTCATAATCTTAGATAATGTGGAGTTTTTATTACCCATAGTAGTGTTTAGCTAGCATGAGAGAGTTGGCGATGATTTGATCCACAATTAGTCTTCTGTATTCTGTGTTGGACTTGTAGATGCAGGTTTTAAGGGATGCACATCCCTTTTCACTTGTTGCGAGTTGAAGGCAAAAGTGGGTAGCGGTTTCAAATAAGGTCTATGTGCATGAGAAAAGTTCATGTCAGTATGTTACGTAAAACTAAGTCATTTAAAAATACTAGTTGAGATGCACGTGCAATGCATGCGGTTAAATATCATGATTATTTAAATTAATAAAAATAGAATAAAAATAAAAAATAATGTTTTTTGTGGGATTGATGATCAACTCAATAATCTCTCTCTCAAATGAAACATTATCATTGTTTCCTTCAACCCAGACTGTGGCCACGTGATCTACTATTTGTGAGTTATAAACACATTGATCTAGTATAACATCTCTGTTTATTAGCGTCTTGAAGTCTTCAAAAAATGGATGATCATTCAATTCGCAAAGGAATTTTGCATATGAATTACTTGCAATATGTCCATTAAACTTTTAGTTGTAGTTTAACTCATATTCATATTAACTTTTAGTTATGGTTTCACTAATATTTACATTATCTAATATTCTCATTCAATTTTATAGCTCATTCTTTGAACCATAGAAGTAAAACTGAAAGCATGAAGAATTACTTTCTTACGAAATTAAAGCGAGGAGATTATGATATATTTTGTCATGTGCTCTAAATATAACTTTTTTTGATGCAAGGTCTCTATCAAATATTATCCCAAATGATGTGAATAAAAAATATCATTATAACTCACTTGCCTAGGGAAATTGTATTGTATATAGGACATATAACTAATCTAGAATATCTACATATGCTAACTGGATTTTGTTATTGTGAGAGCAAAATGTTAGAGGTTCGTATTCAAACTTTTTGGCTCTATAGAAAAATTCTTAGTGTATAGCTTATATATCGTAAGAACATACTGGTTCATGAAGAATTTTTCCTAATAACGATATTATTACAACGATGCTACTATTCAATATTAAATCAATTTTATTATATAAGATTATATGATCCTTTTTAATAAATTATACTCAAAATACTCGAAGGTTTTCAAGAAAAAGAGAATATATATATGGAAACCTCGATACTTATGGCTAGTAGTTGGGCTCCACAAAATAAATTAACTTTACATTGTAGTTGTAGTTTGCTATTGGTAGCACTGTTGGTAATGCCATTATATTTCCTATTTATCCTAATATTCACTCTTTTCTAATATAAGTCCTCTTTTGCTAATCACTCAATTGACTATATTTAGTTTCTATAATATCAGAGGTTAGAATATTCTCTTCTATTGAAAAAGTGTTGACATGGTTTTCTTAAAAAATATATATATACATAATAACAATAGTATATACTTTAGTTCAACTCAAATATTGGTTTAAAGTCATTTAGAGTGAGGTCCTTTTTATGCTAGAATGGTGATATAATGATTACACAATCCAAAAGTCAAAGAAAAAATTTCTATAAAGAAAAAAATAATTTAATATGTCAAATTAATAACTAATTTATAAAATATACATGGACAGTGCGGATAGCTATAGAAAGTAATATATATATCTTTATAAAAATTACATAGTGAGTAACCAACTACAATCATCATAATTTAAGCATGAATAATTATTATTTTTATTACTAATTTGATACGCATAACTATAGAATAAATCTCAAGCAAAAAATAGGAAATGAGATTGTATTATCATATAGGTAAATAAATAAATGTTATTAAAGCTCTTCTTTATATTAAATTTAAAAATAATAATTTAAATTATTAAGAGCCAAATATTAATTCAAGCGAGAAAGTAAAGTAATATATAATTTATATACCTATATAGTCAATCAATCAAATGTATTAAAATTATGATGACCACAGTCAAAATTATATGGTGGGTTCATATTAATTATAATTTATAAAAAATAATACATTAAAGTCAAAATCCTTTTAACCAATATATAGATTGTTTGAAATTTTTTACATATATAAACTATACTGCATAGGAATAGTGATGTGTGCCCTAATACATCCTAAGACCGACTTACTCTTCAATATCATTGTTAATTGATGTATCTATGTATTACATTGAAAACACAATTAAAATTAGAAAACTACAAAAGAAACACCCTTAACAGTTTTTAAAATTATAAAAAAAACACCCAAAAATTTTGTAATTTACAAATACACAAAACTATTAAATATTACATTGAAATCAAGGAAATACAAAATATTATTAAAAAATTTTAAACTTTGGAGGGGTAATTTGCAATGTACTAAACTTTAGTGTTTTTTATAAATTTTAAATTTAATAGATTTTTAATTAGTTATGTGCTCTCCAAAAAAGTTATGGGTAATATTGACCATGACAATTTTTTCCTAAATCTATATTTTTAAAGGGAGTATGATATTTTTTACAAATTTTTAATTTTTTAGAGGTTGTTCGTAATTTTGCTTATTCATTTTAGTATCTATAGGTTAGCAATTCTCATGGTGTTTTTTATAAATTATGAATTTTTAAGTTTTTTTGTAATTTTTTAAACTTATAGGCCTTTTATATAGATTGTAAATTATTTTTAGACTATTTATAATTCATATGTTCTTAATTTACTAATGAGTTTAAAATTCTCAAGGTGTTCTTTATAAAATTTGAATCATAAGTGTTTGTTTATAATTTTTAAAACTTTAAGTGTGTTTTCTATAAATTATAAATTATGTAGAGGATATTTGTAATTCTTATATTTTTAATGTACTGTTAGGTTAAAAAATTATCAAGATTTTTATAAATTTTATAATTTTGAGGGTTTTATTTTGTAATTTATAAAATGTTTATAGTGTTAATTGTAAATTCTATAAATTTTTTAGGGTTGTTTGTGTTATTTGTAGATTTTTAATGTGTGTATAGGTTTAAAATTTTTAATGTTTTTATATAAATTTTGAATTTTAGGGTTGTTTTTTGAAAATTTTTAAAATTATAAGATAATTTCTCCAAAGTCAAAAATCTTTCAATTTCTAGCTAGCATATGTTTTTCAAATTTCTCATTGAATTGAAATAAGTAAAAATTATAATTTTTAATATGTTTTAATAAAATTTTTAATTTGTAGGTTTTTTTTTGCAATTTAAAAAACTTAGAGGGTATTTTTTATAAAGTCCAAAAACTTTTAGGTGCTAGCTAGTATATGTTTTTTATTTTTTTTTGCGAACTAAAATAAGTAAAGGAATTATATCAAACACACGTCCTTTATCCAATAACATGTTAAGTCTCATTATGAATAGGATAAATTATTTAATTACCAATTCCAAAAAAAAAGGATAACTACTATAGATTAGGATAATAGTGTAATATTTTTAAAAAAAATTAAGGGTAATATTGATCATGAAAAGATTTTCCTAAACTCGTAATTTTAAAGGGAGTATGATTCAATATGGAGTTTTGCGGGTTTGAGAATGATTTCGAATAAATTATAAATAACATACACAACAAATGACTAAAACTAAGGACTTCAATTATCGACACTTTTCTATTCAATAGTTTAAGTTTATTATCGCATGATGATTAATTAGAGAGGGAAAACTTACATAGCTTCTTCTGTCTTCAACTAATAGTTTTCATTAACGAGTGTTTGAAAACTGAAGAAAATTTTGTTACTACACTTCCTTTAGATGTGAAACATCACTAATTATATTGGATATCAATTAATGCACAATCAGTGGCTGATCTAGAATTTTTTTGGGGTTGTTGTTTTTTTTTTTGTGGTGGGGGGTGGGTGTGGGGGTGTATTTGCAGGATGGGGGATGACAAGTATCTATTAAGCCAAAAAATAAAATATAATATTATGAAAATAATGTTCTTGACAGTGCAGAGGGCCTCACATGAGATTTTTTTTTAAAAATCCCATGTAGGGCCCTCTGCACTGTAGCAGGTGAGGGGGTGTGGCTGAGAGTGTGCCCAATGGTGTGCCTCTAGTGCCTCCCATATGTAACAGCGAAAGCTCCCTACTGCCATCATTTGAATCTAGGTTTCTATTTGTAGTGATCAACAGGAAGTACTGCATAGTTTCTTTCAGGGGCTGTTTGGTTATTTCCTAAAAAACCAAAAAATAGAAATGCAAACTAAGAAAACTCAAAAAGTACAGGGGCTGTTTGGTTATTTCCTAAAAAACCAAAAAATAGAAATGCAAACTAAGAAAACTCAAAAAGTACAATTTCACACATTTCCATCCCTAAAACTCACAATAGAAATGCAAACTAAGAAAACTCAAAAAGTACAATTTCACACATTTCCATCCCTAAAACTCACCCATCACATGTAATAAAATATTATTTTTATCCAACAACTCATCCATCACATCCACCACATCTAATAAAATATTATTTTCATCCACAACATCACTCAACTCATCTCATCTCATATTTAAAAATTACTCATATCATCCAATAAGATTGTGACAACTCATCTCATCTCATTAACATTTCATTTCTTTGTTTTCCTCCCAAAAAGCTAGGAAAACAATTTTCTTAAGTGTGAGTCACATCATCCAATAATATAATGACAACTCATCTCATCTCATATATTTTCTTATTTTTAAGAAATAACCAAGCAAAAGAAAACAACCTATTACAAGAAATAGGTTTCTTATAATTTATTTCATTATTTTTTTGGCCAACCAAACAACATCAAAACAAGTTTTCTTAAAAAATCACTCACTTCATCCTATAATAAGGTGGCAACTCATCTTCATTTCTTTGATTTCCTTCTTTTTTTAGCAAACCAAACACTCCCAAAACAATTCTTTGATTTAATAGTTTTCCATTTCTTTGATTTTCAATTTGTTTTAGGCAAACAAACAGATCAAAAATTAGCTTTTCATTTGCATTAGGGTTACACTTTAATGCGTTTAAGCATACAACTTTTTTAACTTTGATACTTCAATATTTTTTTTCAGCACTCTGATACCCCAAACTTTGAACCCTTTTAACTTTGGCATCCTAAAGCATTTTTGACACTTTGATACCCGAAAATTTATAATTTACTTACCTCTAGTACCCAAAGTGTCATTGTGAAAAATAAAACATGAAGAATCGAAGTTAAAAGTGTGAACTTTTTAGAGTATCAGGTTATCAAGAAAAAACTTCGAGGTACCAAAGATTAAAAAAAAACTAAAAGGCAACCGCTTAGGTACTTCAAAAAACAATTTTTAGAGTACCGATGACACAAAATGTAAATTAATTTCCATAAGATTTAATTTACCTGGAGGCCTAATTCTCTGTTTGTTCTTTTCTATTTCTTCCCACAATATTTTCTTCAAACAAACCCTCCATTATTTCAATCCCCTTATCAAACCCAACTCCCCCAAATTTTTGTGATGAGCTCATTTTACTTCAGTACTCAGAGCATGGGCCGGCTCGTTCTCGTCTGTCGATGGAGAAATCATCTGCACTGCGGTCCTCGTCGTGGATGGGAGTGCATTGGTGGCGGGTTTTTGGGCAGCGAGTTGCGGGTAATGAGCGGAGGGAGAACGGATTATTGGGTTGAAGATGAGATGTGATTCTAATATTAGGAATTTGAAGAAGCTATGGATTGGGTAATTGGAGATTAATAGCAGTAGAAACAAATTTCTGAACACTGGGGAATTCAAAATGATGAGGGTGAAGTACCTATTTTCCTCCTTTTAATTAAAAAATAAATAAAGGACAAAATTTTAAAACCAACCATATATTTGAATAGACCCCTTCAACATTTATTTAGCTGGCTGAAACGAGATTGAAAATGCTAAATAAGTAGTGGAAACTTCACGGGATTAAGAATCTTACGAAGTTTAGAACGAAATTAAGGCTTGCTAAATTATTTTCACAAAGTTTTTTTATTAGCCACATGAATGATTTTGTGCTAAACTTCGCGTGTAAACTTTGGGGTCACCAAATTGTCAAAGTGCAAATAACCCTCTAGATACTTTGGGGTCACCAAATTGTCGAAGAAAAGCCGTGGGTATCAAATTCATAAATGTTGTAAACTTTAGCGTGACAAAGTTCAAATAACCCTCTAGATAATTTTATGGCGTACTAATTGAATTCGTTATTGAATCTAGAAGAATCATCAAATTGCTAGCAACTGATGAATGCATTACGCCACCATCAAGTTAAAATAACAACAACAACAATAATAACTACAGCTATTGCGCTTACCAAATTATCCTCATCAGTCAGATGATTAAAACAATGGGAAACCAGCTGATACCCAATAGGATGAATCATCAGTTCAAAAGTTTCATTGATTCCCGCAAGAGCAAGAGCAGATTTAATACCATCGCGTAACGTAGGAGATCCTTTAACGCTCTCAATCACTTTCTTGACGAAATTTATGCTGTAATATAAAAAATATATAAAGGGATTAATCCGAACAAGAATCATCCCAAAAAGAAAGAAAATCTGAAACAAATTACTAATATATCAAACCTGTGCGGATCCTTCGCCATATCAACAAGCGTGTACTGATCTTTGATGAGAAAATTCACAATCTGTGCTTTCTCTTGAATACTGCATCTTTCTAAGTAATTCTCGAAGCTTTCAGGTGTCGGTTTTGGACACGTCATGAAGGATCTTGGATTATAGCCTTCATCTACATGATAAGCGTACTGATTGTTTTGGTAAAAATCAGACCCAGGTGTTCGATACGAGCTGGAATCAAGAACAGCATTTCTTGGTATCGATATATTCGTATCAGAAACAGCACTAATGGGTGTCTCAGGAAATCCAAGATTATTAACCAGAGGATAGATTGGAGATCCTCCATTGCTTTTGAGACTAAGTTCTTGAAGTTCTTGAACAAGGCCCTCCATTGCTGATTGATGAATGATTTCTGGGCGTACAGGTGATCTGGGGGGGTGGAGTTTAAGAATAGAGGTTAGAGAGAACGTGCTGAGCTCTTCTAGAGGTTAATGTGTTATATTTATAGGAGAGGGAAAGACTGTAAAAGAGTCGGACTTCTACTAAGGCAAGAACTCCCAATTTGAATTCAATAAGGGAGGGAGTCTTAGTAGCATGCAATTTCCTATTTACAAGGTTGCTGTTTTTATTCAAGAATCAGAATTCTAATGGAACCAAGACACAATTTAGGTTGAGATACAATTTGATCCGACCTTTAGAGATTCCAAATTTGAATTGGGTCTAGAACATATTTGCACGGCACCCGGTTCGTTCCGGTTCATGGGACGGGAACGTGGACGTGGTATGCCACTCATTAGGAATCAAGTATGAGGGGGTAGGCTTATATGGTACGCCGGGGAACATGATACGCTTTAGGTTCGGTTCTTAAATGCTAGATGAACCAACCATGTTGCAATTAAGATATGCATTCCTTATTTGCTTAATTTCTCATGTTTTTTGTTGTTTATTCATTTAAAAAGAGTTAATTTTTGTTTCAAAATTTTAAATGGTTTGAATTCTAAATCGGGTCGCTGGTGTTGGTGAATCGGGTCATGTTCCACGCGAATATGGAATGATTGAACCCAGATCGCGGTTTGCTTTAGTGTACCACTTTCATGACTTCTATGGTCTAGAAAACCACCTTGCTATTTTCAATAGACTTTTTTTTTAGTAACTCTTCAGCAAAGATTTCGTTTAGTGAACTTCTGTATATAAATAACACAAGAACCTTTGTCAATCTTTCATGCACTCCAAAACTTTCTCCATGGAGAAACAAAATCCCCATTCACCATCCTTCAAAGATCTTGATTGTTGGACATCGCGGGGTTTCACGCAGAGCATCATAGAAAGAGAAGCTCTGAATCAAAGGCTCGAAGCAGATAGATTGGCTGGACAGTTTCAAGAACTAGAGCTGCGTAAAAATTTGAGTATCAGGCGCTGTCAGGAGCAGAAAGAACAAGAGCTGGAGTTGGCACAAGAGATGGCGCAAGAGCTGAAGATGAGGAACCTGACATTTGGAGATATGGACTAATATGCAAATGGACACAGGAGAGAAAAAGGCTATTATGCAAGACTACGTAACTACAAGGGCTTGTAATAAGGTGTAGTTAATTCAGTTACAACAATTAGTTTTTCTGTTCTTTCTTTAACTCTGTTTGTGCTGTTCACGTGCATAAAGAATTGTAACCTGTAGCAGTAGCTGAACTATATAAAAGGGAGAGAGGATGTAATAGTGAAGGATCATGAATGTAATTGGATTCTCCTCTCATCCTTAATTCTGAGTTGTTCTTCTCTATCTCTCTCAATTCATCTCTTTTACTGTCTCAATTTTCTTTCATCTCTGCCTTAAGAACCTGCAGTTTTCAGCCATGGCTAGAAACAGCAACTTGAGGATCAACCAAAGCTCTCGATCCTCACAATTGGTATCAGAGCAAAGCTTCTTCGATCAACAATGGACGACAACAAATAGGAGGATATCTTCTCATCTAGAAGAGACAACAAAGCTCCTTCAAGAATTCAAGAAATCCAAGAATCCAAGCCAAGAAATGAGCAAGAGCTTCACAGATCAGGATTCGCAACCCAATCGAATCCTCTTCGTCACCATTCACACAATGATCTATCCTATAACAGAGGAAGTGTTGCATCAAGTGTTTTCTCCATATGGGTTTGTAGAGGAGATTGTCATTCTTCAGGAGACAGTGAGCTTCCAAGCTCTTATACAATTTCAATCACAGCAAAATACGATCGAAGCAATGAATTCTCTACAAGGGCGCAACATTTATGATGATTGTTGTCGATTAGCCATACAAATTTCCAATTTCAGTGAAGAATTTCAGCCATCCCACAATCTTGAAGTTGCTGAAAGTTCTTGGGAAAATAGAGATGCTTATGACCCTTGGCATGGAAAGCATGTCAATTCCTCAGCAAGACCAGACCACACCAGAGCAAATTCCTCAGCTTGGAGAGATGGGTTCACAACAGCTTATAAGGTCAAGGCTAGGGACTCCTGCAACAATGGATTCTCCAATCTCAGTCTTGACGACGAAGTGCCTTTAGTAGATGAAGATGTTGAGGAGAAGCGTCTGAAGAGGCTTGAAGCGATTTGTTCTCGGAAACCCTATGGTGGTATTTCGAAAGATGGAAGCGGTTGTGTTTCGATCTTGAATTCAGGTCTCTCTCCACGAATGAGAAGCAAGAATGGGTTTGTTGATGACCTTTCTCAGAAGAGGATTTCTTCTTCCAAGGAAACCCAACAAAGGTGTTCGACGAACGCCTCAAAGGCTTCTGCAGGTTCGTGGAGAAACAAGCAACGGTTGGCCGAGGCTTCGAGAAGAGGAGTATCTCCTTCCATTTACCTTTCAACCCCAAGAAGGTGAGACAAACAATATTTGTCTAAGGATGAAGATCTTTCACCTCCAAGAAAGAACAAGGAACCAGAGTTGTTATCAACTGAGAAGATTAAAAAGAAGATGATGAAGAAGCCACGATCTTCTCGTCTCCACCGAAAGCCAAAGCTCAAGAAACGGCCATGGCCAATCTCAAGCAAGAGAAAGGCAAAGCTCAAGAACCCACCATGGCCAATCTTAAGCAAGAAGAAGAAGAAGAACAAATGGGAGAACAGCTCGTGGCAAAGGAAGTTGATCGTGCAGAAGCGGAGAGCGTCCATGAATGATTTTGACAGGTTCAAGGTCAAAGTGAAGCTGAAGGCAGAAATTGTTGATATATGTTACCCGCCAATATGTCAGAGCTCATGTAGCTATGACTTCAAAGTGGAAAATGTTGAATATATTCTCAAAGATTTGCTCAAAGGCATTGAATATGAAATGGTGGCTGAATTGAGCAAGAATGATCCAGGAAAGGAACAGGCTACTCAATTGCAAGGACGTGCTGATTTCAATGGCAAATCCTCAGCCTTGAATATTTGGTTGCTGGGCTATGAATTTCCAGAAACAATCATGGTGTCTATGAGCAAGCATATTCATTTCATGTGTAGCCAAAAGAAGGCTTCGCTGCTTGAAACCATTAGGAAATCTGCCAAAGAAGCTGTTTGTGTAGATGTTGTGCTACATGTTAAGGCAAAGAATGATGATGGTTCTACATCAATGGAACAATTATTGGGTGCGATTCGTTTTCAATCGGAAGATTCAGTTGTTGGTTATATAGCAAAAGAGGTACCTGAAGGGAAGCTCTTAGAGACATGGTCAGAAAAGCTAGCCGACTCAGGGTTAAAGCTTACCGACGTAACAAATGGGTTCTCTGAATTGTTTGCTGTCAAGGATGCTACTGAACTTACCTGTGTGAAGATTCTTCAAGAGAGGAATGAGGTAATAAGCTCAGTTTTCAATTCTGTTGAGTTTTCATTGGATGAAGTGGAGATTGATGTTGAGTTTGAGGATAGCGTGTCGAAACCCGAAATGGGCTTCGGATCTCAAGAAGTCTTGAATGTTGGTCAGTTGAGAAAGGGGGAGTCAGGAATTAAAAAGCACCAAAATCCTTCTGTGACTGGTCCTATGGGATGTCTTCTAATTGTCAAAAATATTACAGGTGATAGACTTAAGTTTGGTTTAGCAGCAGAGCAAGAGAAATCTGAAGGCTATAAAATTGAGATGGTTATTGTTGGAGATGACTGTGCTCTGCCACCACCTAGAGGCATAGCTTGTTGCGCGCAGCGGAAATTTCGGCAGCACTTCGACAGCACAACAAGAGAGTCAGATCGTAATAAGAATTCCCGTCTCACCAAGGAGACAAGAATCTGAAGCGGATATCTCAACAAAGTGAGATATCGGAGATCCCTCACAATATCTCTCACAAAAGACTGCACAAAACCCTAGAAGAAACTGCTCAAAAACCCCTAGCCGCTGCCTGCGCTTTTCTTCTGCAGCCGCAAAATCAATGCTCGCTTCCTCAATGTGCAGCCACCAAAAATATTCCTTGCTCAGAACCCTAGTTAATTTTTTCGTGTGCTTTTATAAGCACAAGCACGAGTTATTTGGTCTCAGGTGGGCCTTCATGGGCCGGCTCGTGTTCGTGTCCTCATGCGGAGATGAAACCGCGTTTTCGTGTGGCTTCAATCACGTGGTAGACCCCCCCACGTCACAATTCTCCACCTCGGTGAAGTTTTCCCAAAACTGAGCCGACACCAAAGCAACCAAATGTCCCACTCTCCACCTCGGTGAAGTTTTCCCAAAACTGAGCCGACACCAAAGCAACCAAATGTCCCACTTGTTGTGTTCAGTACGAACTCAATCCACAACAAATCGAGAACCCGAACGAGAGTCCAAACAATCTCACCCCCATCAACTAATCCAAACTGGCTGCATCTGAAAGACTGCCTACGTATCCTCTTGTCCAAGGAATCAAGCCGGACGTAGTTCACCCAAATGGCCGCCAACGGCCTCAACAATCACGAATATGCAATAAGTTTCGACAATGATCAAACTTGTTGCTCGGAACCACCTTAGTGAGCATATCCGTCGGATTATCCTTCGCGTGGACTTTCATAATCTCCACATCGCCATCTTCAAGAACATCTCGAATGAAGTAATAACGAACGTCAATATGCTTCGTCCTTGCATGAAAAACCTGATTCTTCGCCAAATAGATAGCACTCATGCTATCACAATGAATAGTGACGGACCTCTGCGATATACCAAGTTCCTCCAAAAGTCCTCGAAGCCAAATAGCCTCCTTCACAACCTCCGTAATTGCCATATACTCTGCCTCCGTCGTAGACAAAACCACCGTAGACTGTAAGGTGCATCTCCAACACACCGGCGCACGGGTCAAAGTAAACACATACCCCGTCGTAGACCGGCGCTTATTCAAATCCCCGGCATAATCCAAATCAACATAACCAATGCATAACTGCCCACCTTTAGTGTCCCGCTCATAAACCAAACCAACATTGAGCGTACCTCGAATGTACCTCAAAATCCATTTCACGGCGTCCCAATGACCCACTCCTGGATCATGCATGTA